TACATGATATTAGAAGTGACAATTTTAGACACGATATGATGATATAATATAAAAATGATACGAAAAAAATATATATATGTTTTAAAAAAAGGTATTTCGTATTTATTCGCATCAACGTGAATTTCGATATGACATAATTTATATCGTATATGTGTTAATTTATCTAAATATATGACATGACATAAATAATACGGTTAATTTAATCTTATCATACGAGTACATATTTAATATATTTAACATGTTTAATATATTTTTTATATTTATTTGAATTTAATATAAACATATAAAAATTATTTTAATTTTTAATTTTTTAATTATGATATTTAATTAGCTATTTAATATATAAAAATTATTTTAAATATTTAATTATGATATTCATTTAATAATTATTATAAAATTATTTTTATATTAATAATATAAATACAATATTAATATTAATGTTAGTCTTATACATTATTATTTTATTCTTTAACCTTTAATAGTTTATAATTTTGAATTTGATACTAAAAATTAATATAGTTATATAATATAAATTAAATTATATATATATATTAAATACATATTAAATTAGTATTAAATTTTTTATTTTTTTAAATATGTAAGTACATTTTTATATTATTAATATGTCAAATTTATTAAGTTATAAATTATGGGTAGTTTTGGTTATTTATTATTTTAATCATATATATTCGTATATATTCATATTAATTATATTTATTCGTATCATATTTAAATAAATTAATTATATTCATGTTAATCATATCGTATCACGTGTAATACATATATTAAATATATTGTGTTCGTGTTTAAAATTTAAATATATTTTATAATTTATGTCGTGTTTGTGTTTTAATAATTCATGTCATTACATGTGTCAAACGCGACACTAAACACTACATGAAAACATAAATAGCCAAGACTACGTGACATCATTTTTCTACAACTTTTTTAATCTAGTTTATATAACATTCATTGCTCATTAAACCTCGGAGCTGAAATATATATTGTTTCCAATAGAAATGAAAATTTACATAATTATTTACATTTTGAATAGAAATGATTATATAAACACAATATATTTTATCTTACAAATATATGCTAGCTAGCTGGATAGAAATTTTAATTTGGTTACTGATTACTGTCTTTTTTTATATAATTGAATAAATTTTATTCATAAAAAAGTAAGTTTATTACAAAAAAAAAATTTAAAGAAATTTAACGATAAAAGAAACAATAAATAATAAATAAATTAATCTAAAAATTTATCATTGAGATTTCAATTATGATAAAAGAAGCCTATTAATAGAATTAATATACGAGTGCCGAATACTACGGAGCCTACAAAGTACAGCATTCTTAATCAGTGAAAATTCATCTTATAAGTTAGGGGGTCTGTGAATATCTTCAAAATTAAAAATAAAAGAAAAATTTTCATTACACACTTTCAAAATTTCTTATAATCACCTTTTATATCAACAAAATTGATAAATTTATTTATAATTATATATGTATTATAATTAGACCCCTCCAAAAAAATTTTGAATTAGTCATTGTTCTTAACCAACTGCAAGAATGGTAATGCTACATTCATTCTGATTTCCAATAAAATTTTTGTTTATATCCATCCAAACACCATGCTTAAACGCAATTTAAGCTATTTTAAGAATTATAGACAAATGGGATACCCTTGAAGTTAGTTTAGATGTCTTTCATTTGTGTCCATAATTTGCTTAATAGTAATTTAGTGCACACAAACATGTTATTGCATGTGTACGAAAATAAAAATTTATCCACATATTAAAATATTTCAAGTTAGTCATTGGTGCTTAGAGTTTAATCTTTACGTTAAGCATATAGTAACTTGATAAACTCATAAGACAGTTGAAAAAGAAGGAGAAGGAGAGAAAGAGAAAGAAGCGAAATTTGAATGAATCTTTTAGATTACAGGCAGGGCTATTGGCTTTAGACTTCCTTGGAGGAGACAATTGGAGGTTACAGTGTTCCTTAGGTGTCATGATACTGACAACAGCTTATCTTTCATAGGACGGCTTATTAGGTGGTTTTGCCTTTCTTTTTTCTTGTTCTTCTTCAAACAAACACTCCTTTTCCGAAATGTTGGTCCATTGGGTCGTCGGGTCCTCATTTTCCTTTTTGTTTTATAACCTTTTTCTTTTCCAATCCTTCCACCCTTCCTTCCAATTAAAACTAATTAATTATTTTTATTACTTTTAAATTCTTATCTGGCAAAGAACATCTTGTCAACAACAAGATCACTAGACGAATCCCCAAGTTCCTCACCCCCTCCTTTTTAATTTCACTTAAAAAAAAAATCCCACTCTCCCAAGAGACATTCCAGTTGTATTCTCGTTGCTTTTGAGGAACGTTAAATATAAAAGCCTGTTATAAGACTGTGAACAAGTCTTTCCTTGTTTGACACATTTGCATGCATGGCATTGGCATGCAAACGCAAAACCCAAACTACTAAATAAATAAATAAATAAATCCATCTCCACGTTCCCACGTGGCATCTGGAGAATTGATCAAAGAATTTATTAAACCCTGATACGATCTCTTTGATTTCCTTGGAAATGTTGGACATAAAACTCTAACCCTTGCCCAAAATTGGACCCCACCAAATCCAACGAGCCACATAATATCACGATTAGTTGAGCATGTAAAATAAAAGCGTATCCAAACCCTAATCATGTTCTGTGGTTTGAGATGGTTAAGCAAATCCCAGAGTTTCTATTAAAAAGAGTATAAACAGATCCTCATTTATTACTCGAATTTATAGGCATTTGAGCATAGTCTTAATCTGCTCAATTCTTCCTCCACTCTCCTCTCCAGTGCGTGTTCTCACGTTTACATAAAACTTTAAAACCCCACGAAATTGTGGGTCTCGTGGCAGAAAAAGATGATCGGAAATAGCAAACCAAAAAACCAAAAAAACAATCCAACGCTTAGCGTCTTGGGCTAATCGCAGTTTTTTTTTTTCGTGCTTTACAAAGTGAAAACAGAGAGAGAGAGAGAGAGTATCTTTTGGAAAGCGGTGGTCGTCCCGTTTGTCGAACTAAGGCCTCACCAATCTCTAGACGATCTGATTCTTTTCTCTCTCTCTTCATGTTTTTTTGAATCTTTTGATCATATTCTTCAGAAGGTTTTTTTTTTTATTCGGGGTCTGGCCATGATGGATGTGGGGTCATTTCTGATTGTTTTGTTTTCTAAAATTCTCATTTTCTACATTTATTTTTTTAATTTTTTTGACCTTTTCCTTTTTGTGGGTTTTCATCTTTGACTCAAAGATCTTTCTTTCTCTCTCGGTAAGCCAAGTAGAAACAGAGATGTTTGTTACTTTGATGATTGCAAAGTATCTCATTTTAATACTTTTTAATTTTAATTTTTTTCCCTTAACTTTCTTTTTATGTTCGGATCTTCTATTATTGTGCTAAGACAAAATACTTGTATTACTACAACGATTAGAAACCAAAAAGCTTTATGGGGTGGTGGTGCTGATGGGTTTTGGATACGGCACATGAGGAAATTATCATGACGAAATTGGCTTTGGTTTTGGAGTGGGGAAGTTCACGTGATTCCAGGGTACGGGCACTGATTGTAGTAAGCTTGAAAGTAGAAACTGGTTGTTTTTGGTGCGTGGGAGGGCATGTTATTGTGGATTGTAAGATTGATGGATTGGACTGCCTAAAACAACTAACGAAGTGGGCATGTTCGGTAGCAGTGGTCATTGCTCCGTTGAACAACTGATCTCACTCGTACATTAACTCACATTTTACTTCCTTTTTCGCCCACGGGTAAAACCAGTGCGTGGTGAACAACATTGCCCTCCTATATTGATGAAGATCTTTAGACAGTATTAGTCAAGAACAGTCATTCTTTGACATTATTATTCAAATTCAATTGGTTGAGAAATTGAATCTAAATTCAGCTATCTGATCACTAAGACATAAAACCTTTCAAATGTCATAAACCTACAAAAATTTAACTACTATTAATTCATCAATGTTTCTGGGAATTACAAAATATGTCTCTATACATGGCATCTACATCAAGGTTATTTATTCACTGTCTTATGTACCTTTTTTCTGTAAACTTTTTCTATGGCCAACTTGGGAAAGAACAATTTAAACTTCAAACTTCCATTGTTTTTTTTTTCCTTTCAAATGAACAAAATGAAAAGTATGATCAAAACAATTTGATCGATCACAATCTTGGGTAATATATTGATGGGGACCATGAGAGACCTTAACCTGAGAATGAATATACCTTTGGGGGCATATGGCAGTAGCCATTGGAGCGTGACGACAAACGCAGTGAGAAGGAGCGTGGAAAAGGGCAGGCGAAACTATTCCATTTTCCTTGGGAGGCTGGCAGTGACAGAGCAGAGAGGCAGAGATACGGATACGGACAGAGGTTTTGATGTATTGGGTTTGAGACTAATAGGGCCTCGTGATCGGAGAAGGCAGATCCATGGAAGACTGTTCCCGCTAGTCACGTGGGCTCTTTTGACTACCCAATGACCAACCCAGCTGCCTCCCTCGCTTTGTTAGGAGCACCCCCCCCCTTTTTCCGTTCACCTCACCCTTCAGTATGTAGTATAAATTCAATTGGCCCCAACCATTTTCTTTTACGACATATTAAAAAAAAAAAAAAAAAACCCACTTCCATCATTACAAATTTCAAATAGTAGCCTTAATTCTTTACACTTCCCCCCTGAGTCTGACAGGCTTATATAAGAGTAGTAGTATTTAACAACATCTACATATATTATATATAGTTAGTTTTTTATTTTGGGTTTTTAAAAGTGTTATCTCACTTTTTCTGTAACATGCAACCTGGGTCCCCATCTGTCTATATCTTTATTTCTCTCTTGCTATATACGCATGTACATCTCTCGATTTGCATTTGACAACAAACGTGGACTGCAGGTGCTGACTGGTATTTCGCCATTTTATTAGCTTATAAAGCTACCAGACAATAACTCTTCTCAGTCCCCTCCTCTCTCGTACCAGTAACCTCTCTCTCTCTTCCAAGTTTTTGTTCAAACGCTATATTATTGCACTTCGCCCCTCAGTTTTACTGTCAGGCTCATACTCCCCTGCCATTACCATTTAACTATAAACTCCCACCACCCCATTCTCTTTCTTCAATGCATTAGCCCTGCTTTTCTTTCTCTTCATCTGCAATCCCTTTTTTTCTTCTGTTTTCTCTCAGTTGGCAATTGTTGGTTGATTGATCAATATTCTGAATCAACGCCATTTGATCTTTTTGATATATCCATATAGTGCTGAAATTGAGGTGAAAGGGTATAGTTAGGCCTTTGACATATAATCATAGAAAAAAATTGAGAAATGATGCACAGGTGCAGTAGCTCTCAGGGAAACATGGTGGGTCCATGTTCATGTGGTCTGTTTCATAGCCAAAGCAACTCCTTCTCGATGTTATTTTCCATGCCAAACCACAAATCTTTCGATGAAACAGACATGTACCCTTTCACTTGCTCTTCATCTTCTTCCGTGGATTGCACTCTCTCCTTGGGAACTCCATCTACTCGTCTTTGCGAAGACGACGACAAGCGTATCCACCATGACCACCGCAGTGGTAATTCTTGCATGTCCAACTTCTGCTGGGACTTGTTACAGAACAAGAACACACCTTATTCACAGCAAACACCAAAAGTTAGCCGTGGAAGCAATGGAAATAGCAGTAACAGCTCAGGCAATGATCCTCTCCTAGCTCGCCGCTGCGCTAACTGTGACACCACTTCTACACCACTTTGGAGGAACGGACCAAGAGGTCCAAAGGTATACAAATTTACAATTGAACAATTCTTTCTTCAAAAACAAGTATACTTCTTTTGCGTTTTTAAAAAAAGATTTTTCATCATTCTTTTTTTAATTGTTTAATTGCAGTCACTTTGCAATGCCTGTGGAATTCGATTCAAAAAAGAAGAAAGAAGAGCTACAGCAGCAAATGCGAACAACTCATCAGGTGCAACAGCTCCAATGCTGGAGCAACATCATGGCTACCACCACAACAATTCATGGGTTCATCACTCTCAGAACCAGAAAATGCCATGTTTCCCTCCTGTTAATGAATTTAGGTTCATTGAAGATACTGATCGAGATTCTGATAATGGCAATCCCTTCCTTTCTTGGAGACTCAATGTCACAGATAGGCCAGCAAGCCTTGTCCATGACTTTACAAGATGAGTTAAAATGGAAGGAAAAAGAAGAAAAAGAAAAGAAACCCCCACCCTATGGACGGTCTAGATCATGCAATAATGACTGGAACGTATCACGATAATGATGTTGATGAAGATATTGTTTGTGATGGTGATGGTTACATGGTCTTCGTTTCGTGTAGTCAAAGTTATTTTTTATTATTATTTTTTTGCTTTTTTAGTTTGTTTCCTTTGTCTCCGTATTCTAGATGGAGTAAGAACGGGATAATTCTATGTTCTTAGTTGCTTTTGAATTTTTTTTTTTTTCAAGTTCTTTAACTTTTCTTTCTCTTTCAGTTTATTTAAAAACGTCTCTGTTTGAAGAGAGTTTCACTTTCACTTTCACTTTCACTTTCACTTTTCCCCTAGTTGCCCCAGTTCCTCTTCCCCTTATTATCAGATATCAAAATCATGATCATCACGATGATGATCACTTCAGGACCCTTAGATTGATTACTGATTCTCCTGATGTAATGTAATAATATAGGACGTGCTAGCTTACATTTGCAAAAGAAAAAAAAATGGCACCCTTTTGTTCATGTTAATGAACTGAAGTTTACTTTACCTGAGACTGTGGACTCTGAAGCTGCTGCTGCTTGCTGCTGCTGCTTGTTGGTTCTTTTCTATTTCTCTGAATTTCACAACTGAAAGAGAAAGTTAAGAGAAAGAGAGAAAAAAAATGGGTTTTTCATTTCATTGTCATTGGAATTATTACGTTTGATTCTGCTGATAAGTCTGATCGTCCAATTACTTTGTGTTTAACAATTTGTGATTGTTCTGAGCCTGAGAGGACACTGTGCGGTTCAGAAAGTATAGTAATGCAATTTGTCGTATTAGGCTTTTTGGGTTCGGTCTATGTGCAAAACACAGAGTCACATTCTTAAATCTTGACCGTCAAATTGTCCTTTAATGCACAGATTGGGACACGCTACAACATTCAAAGTTGCAAACCCTATTTTTTATTTTTACTTGGCTTTCTTTCTGTTTTATTTGGTGAGGTTGAAATTTTGTCAAAATTTTCCTTTTTATTATACCATGTTTCAGTTGGCATATATTTAACTTTCTTTCTCATTCTCAAATCCAAGTAGATTATTCCCCTTTGCCAAAGTGAGTCAAAAATGCTAATATGCTTCTGACTAGATTATGGAATTCATGAAATGATATTTTATGGAAGTAATTAAATATTATAGATATTTATATTATTGTAGATGATTTGTCAATAAATTGCTAAATTTTTAATTTTAATAAATAAATTTGATGTTTACAATTTAAATATAAGAATATCTATTTTTACTTGTTATAACAGAACAATCAAAGCTTATGACAACTCACATGAAATTTTTTAGATAAAGTTTATAAAATTCCTTCTTAAAATGATTTAATAAAAATTTTAATAAAAAATTTAAATTGATAGATTTATAGGGTTTAATGTAAAAATCACTAATACGCAAAAAAATATTAAAAATATTATTTATAATTTAAATTTGTTTGATACTTATTTAATGGTAAAAATTCTATAAATATTTTTACTAAAAGTATCTATTTAAAAAATATATAATTTTTTTTTCAAATTTGCACATTTAATTTATGTAACGATACCTTTCAATTTATCGATTTTAATTTTAATTTTTTATTTTTATTTAATCATTTTTAGTAAAAAATTTCATGAAACTTACTTAAAGAATTTTATCTAAATCTTTTCCTCAAGCTTAAGGCTTACAATTAATATATCATAAGAACCAAAACCTAAGGTTCAGAAGAAAGTTAAGCTATGCATGAGATCCAACAATAACTTTTACGTTATCAATTAATGATATGATGTATAAAAAGGACGAGATAAAGATACAAAACCTTAAATTGAATATTTTAATATTGAACTACTCTCTTAATTTACCTCATCTCGAATTTGAATATGCCACTAATTTAAACATTAAAGTGTGTATCAAAACCCAAACTCCTATACCCTTTAACTTTCTTTTAATTTTTTGACATTTCATTTATTATCCTAGCATGACAATCTCTCCATATCAACATCTACACATGCCAAAAAAATCATAAATAACATATCTTATTGATTTTATATTGTTTATCTAGATTATAAGATGAATGGTAGTATTGTTTATCTATGCAATTCATGAATGATATTTTTAGAGTTATGTCATAATGTATAAGTCTATATACCTTATAACTCGATTTAATTTTAAAAGTCGTCATTAATATTTTTTTATTTAAGTGTGATTAGTTATTTAATTGATTATGTTCTATTTTAAAAAGATGTCCTGAGCTTGACTTGGGTATATTTAAAATATAGATTCTAGTCTATAAAATCAAATATAGATTCGGGAGTATAGTTACGTATGAGAAAAGTTATAACACTTTTACAATAGTACTAGTTTTATTTTATATTATCTAAGCCTTAAAGCATTTTTTTTTTTGTATTGTTACCAAGTAAATTTAATATTAAAAATTGATCTTAAAATTATTTCAATTATTTGATAGCAATTTAAGATAATTTTCTTACCTTAAGAGTATTCATGAAAATTTATGTCCCACTCTAAAGAGATTTCGTTGTTGGATTGATTAATATATTTTTCCAAGACATTATTTTGGAAACAATTAATAAAATCCTCCATCATTTGATATGATTTTATTTTGTGCATATTCCTTAATCGTTTGGTGAGATTTTTATTTGAAAACCTTTTTACAAAAATTAAAAAAAAATGGTCATTAAATCTTTCAATAGTTTAATAAGATTTTATGAGAATTTGAATCCTTCAATTGTTTGGTAGGATTGAAAATTTATTTTTTGAAAATTTATTGAGTGCTCTAATCATTTAATAGAATTTAATTTAAGATTTGAATCCTCCAATCATTTGGTAAAATTAAAGACAAATTATTTATTTCTAAAAATTCATTATGAAAATTTTTAATTATTTGGTAGAATTCATAATTTAAATCCTCAATCATTTGGTAGGATTGAAATTTTATTTTCTTTTTCAAAAAAATTTATTATAAAATTCTCTAATCATTTGGTATAATTCACAAATTTAAAATTTTTAAACCCACGAAGATCCTTCAATAATTCGGTATGATTCATGAATTTATTATTATTATTATTTAGAAAACAGTTTTTAGAAATATCAATAAATAAAATTTATACAAATAAAACAAATAAAAACAAATAGTAAATATAGAATATAAAAAAATTAAAACTAATGGAAATTTAAATAATTAACTTAAGATACAAAAAAATCAATTATAAAATGAAATAAAAAAAATTACCACAGAGGAAAGCTTGGCTTGGCTCAAAGAAAACGACTTGATTGTAGAGACAATTATTGGTTAAAGCGGCTTGAGGTAACGGCTCGACTCAAAAATAGCTTGAAGTTGGCTCAAATCAGCTCGCTAGTTTTAAGTAAAAACTATGTTGTTTTACTTAAGGTATAAATAGCCCTTCAAAAATCACAATTTCTTCATTTCTTTTTCTCCTCTCTCTCTCTTCAAAGTCACTCTAGACTTTTTCTCTTTTTTAGGATTCTTGGTCGTCACTGTTGGTCATAGTGCCACATGCTATCATCGTTCGATATTCGATCAATTCTAAAATTTCACTATCTTTTCTTCCCAGTCTCCTCCTCTTGAATCTGGGCTTTGGTTTTCAACAAACGACCTTCAATGACGTAGATCTAAAAAAAAAGTTGCGACCTTTCACCATTTTTTCATCTTTTTTTTATCGTTTAATTAAGTTGAGATTTCAGTATGTTGCTTTCCCCACCATTTTCCCTCTTTTCTTCATTTCGATGTCCCAACAAACACATCACCATTGTTTGTCACTATAATCCTTGAAGGTGCTATCTTTTTTTTCTTTTTTTTCTTCTCCTTGTTCGATTTTTTATTTTTATTTTTGCCTCATGTGTCTGTTTTTTTTTTTTTTTTTTGGTTGTAGCGAGATTTATGAACAGTCACACGATGAAGAGTAACTGATGGTGACAATAACAGGCCTTGACAGTGGAAGGTTATTGTGGTGTCTGTTTTTTTTGGTCGGCTACTTTCTATGTAATTGTTGCTTGGTTTTTCTTTGTATTTCTTGTGGCTTTTTATTTTAATTTGAATTTTTTGTTGGATTTTTTGTGTTTGTAGGCTGTTATTTTTTATGATTGTGTAATGGATTTTATTTTTGGGTTAGGTGGTTTTTTGGCTAGAGCTAATTTTTTGAGTAATCTATTTAGGTTTATTGCTTTTGTGTTGAGAATTGTTTTTCGGGTTTAGGTTGTGAATTTGGTTCTGGAAGCTCCATTGAAAACTTTGCCCGAAACTACCTCTATGTTGATTTTTCTCCTTGTTGATTCCTGTTTATGCATGGCTTTGAATTGCTAATGGTTGATGTTGATGGTTGTTTGATTGATTGCTCGATGTTTCTTGCTTCTCATTTATTGCATAACCAAAAATTTCACAAGCCTAAATTTTCTTAGAATAAATTCCTCCCCTTCGATCTTGGTTCTGCAGTGTTTTTATATGGATCTTGTTTCAAATTATGAGAATTCTTGATAAAAAAAAGTTTCAATTTCATTTTCAATTCAAGCTTAGACTTTGATTCCAATCAAAACTTTTGTCATAAAAAAAAACTCCAATCTTGAACCAATTCAATTTTACTCGAACTTTTTTTTAAAATAATAAAAACTCTAAACTAAATACAATACCAAAAATAAATAAATAAAAAAATCAAAGCCTAATATTAAAATGTGAATTGGCCCCAGCCTAAATAAGATGTCTATAATTGCTCCTCTTTATGCATTTTTTACGAAACAAGAATTATGAAAAGATATAGATACCTATTACATCCGGATTTGATAAAAAAAATAAAATCTAGATATTCTCATTTGGAATAAAGATTAACAATTCATAATTGAAATTCAAAAGTTCACAACTAAAAATTTAAACATTTGCAATTTGAAATTCAAGAATTCCCAACTTAAAATTTAGAAGTTTGCAATTAAATTCAAAGATTCTCAATTTGAATTTAAAGACTTGCAAAACATTCAAGGTTCTCCCAAAAGTTCAAAGATTCACAAATAAATTGAATTCAAAGATTCATAAAAGTTCAAGATTT